GATATCCTGCATTCTCTCCACTCTCGTACTATGAAGAGAAGAGGAGCCCTCATGTGTTGCGCTCCTTTATTGGCTAGGTGGTTTGTTTCACACCTCCCTCGATCCGTTGTAAAGAATGAGCAAGGTTTAAGGTGGTCCAATAGGTTGATGTCACTCAGACATTCGGATATTCACTGATGTTCTCGATCCTTGGAGGACATTACTATCATCGACAGTTATGGGTAATTCCCTAATGTCCCTTTGATTGGCATTAGGGGAGGTATCACTTACAACCCTTGCTTAGCTTTGCGACAGTTTAGGTATGCCCGAAGAGATGGTCCTCATGATATGCTCCTCCAAGGAGTGGTGTTCGACTATGAGAGTGACGATCAAGGCTACCGTCAGAGGTTTGTACGAGCTTGGAGGATGGTAAACAAAGTGGATAGTAAGACACTAGGACACAAGAATTCTATTCCCCTTGAGCCTTACCTTAGGTGGGTACGAGCTCGTGCTCAGAAGCTCGTAATGCCTTACCCCTTCATCCTACTTGTTATTGTGGAGCATGTTGCTGAAGGAGATGTCCCGTATACTGTCCTCTATCCCAACATGCCTACCTCTCTTGAAGACTTGCAAAAGGGTTGGATTCAGCTAAAGGAAGAGCAAGACACCTTCGAGGCTCAGTTCTACGCAAGCGAGAAAAGGGTTTTGGAGCTTACAAGGAAGCTTCATGAAGAACAAAGCTTGAATGCCTACATTGCACCAAAGAGGATGCGTTCGACCTTTTTGCCTTAGGAATTTATCTTGTAAGCCCAAGAGGCACGTTGTAACCATTTTGAACTGATTAATTCAATTTGACGTTTGTTCATTCTTTATCTAGACAAATTTAAAACTTATAAATCCTTGAAATCATTTGCATACACATTTTTCATGCATCATAACATAAACAGGTTTTCCACAGCAGGTTTCCTTATCTTTCTTCTATTTATTTCAGTAAGATGGATATCGAGAAAACAGTGAAAGACCTGCAAGCACAAAATTCCCAGTTTCAAGAGACTCTGCTGACCCGCAAGGGGAAACAAGAGTTCATGACGTTGCTGGCATCCAAAAAGAAACCAAAAAGGAAATCCCTAGTCAACATGGGTAAAAGATTCAGAGAGTCGATCTGCCAGATGCCGGTAGTGGAAGATTTGTCTGAGGAAGACGAAAATCAAGCTGAAGAAGCAAGGAGCACCCGGGATGGGTGTGTCAATGATCGAGTGTCCGATGATGAAGACTATTTTGATGAGAAATATCCTCCTGCCAACGATAAGTACAAGCAGCTAGAGGATAGACTAAAGGCCATTGAGATTCAAGTTGTTCCTGGTTTGGATTTTGATGATTTGGGTTTAATATCTGGGGTTGTCATTCCCCAAAAATTCAAGATACCAGTTTTTGTTAAATATGATGAGGTCTCCTGCCCAAAGCTTCATCTGAAGTCTTACGTGCGCAAAATACAACCGCACACCACCGACAAGAAACTCTGGGTCCATTTCTTTCAAGAAAGCTTGGCTAGGACTCAACTAGAGTGATTTTACCAATTGGAAGGTTCTCGTATCCATACCTGGAAAGATTTGGCCACTGCTTTCTATCACCAATAATAGTACAACTCCGACCTGGCGCCGACTAGAGTTCAACTACAAGACATGACGATGGGTAAAAACGATGGGTTCAAAGAGTACGCCCAAAAGTGGAGGGATCTTGCCAATAGGGTCCAACCACCATTAACTGATAGGGAACATATTGATATGTTTATGGGTACGTTATCTGGTCCATTTTTCAACTTTTTGTTTGGGTGTTCTTCGTGCGGTTTCACCGAGCTGATCCTGACCGGTGAAAGGGTCGAAAGTGGCATCAAGAGCGGGAAAATCCCCATGGCGTCTGCTTCCACCTCCAACCCTGTAAAGAAACCCTTCACTGGGAAGAAAGAAACAAATGTTGTGTATGGGGAAAAGGCCCGTACCAAGAAGGATAGTCGTCTGTCCGTTAATGCTGTTCTGATTTCCAACCCGACTCCTGTTCAAAGACAATCTTCCAATCATCAACGATTTGAGGCTCCACGAAGACAATTCACAAGGATAGGCATGTCACTATCCCAAGCCTTACAACACCTGTTAAAGGCCAACTTGGTGACTCTGCGTGATCCTCCGTCCAATCCGAATACTTCATTACCTAGATATCATCTGAATACCGAATGCGCATATCATTCAAATAGCCCCAGGCATGAGACCGATCAATGCTAGGCGCTGAAGAGAAAAATTCAAGATCTAATAGACAACAAGACAATCAGATTTGATCCGCCTACAATTCCCAATGTAATAACGACACCAATGCCTAACCATGGCAAAGGTGTCAATGCAATTGAAGACACTATTTTTGTTTCCTCCGTCGAAGACTTAACTACTCTGTTAACCATTGTCAAAAAGAATTTGCTGAGAGCTGGGGTTTTCCTTGGCTGTTTGAAAGATTGTGATTATTGCGCCAAACAAGTTAATGGATGCAAATGGCTGAAATAAGGCGTTCAACGCCTGATGAATAGTCATGAGATCCTATTTAAAAGAGCACCATCCATCAAAAATTTGACCGATAAGATTGAAGACCTCTCCATCATAACAATTTCATACCAAAAAATCTCATTGTTTGTAGGAAGGTTTTTTTCCGCGAAACCTAGAAATTGTTTCAATCCATTCTCATACTCACTATTTAATCTATTGGCTTTCATCCAACTATGGTCCATAATCACATAAATCTTCTGAAAATAAAATAAAAAATAGTACATAAATAAAGCTTCTCAACAACAACAACAATAAAACAATACGCGAAGAATGACAAGAACATACCGAGGAGATCCTTGGAGAAAAAGTGTTCTTTCGTTGGCTAAGCTCCTTAGAGAAGAAGTGCTCTTTCGTTGGCTAAGCTCCTTAGAGAAGAAGTGTTCTTTTGTTGGCTGGAGAATAAGTGTTCTTTCGTTAGGGCTCGAAAAATGAATTAGGGGAATCAAACATATATAAAAACTTTATCTCGGCTAAACTAAAAAACCGGCGTAGAATGGCTGATGTAAAATATATATAAAAAAAAGAGACGCCTTTTTGTTTGCCAAAGGAATAAAAATTTAGGGAGCTTTTATCTCGGTTTTGAAAACAACTGAGGTAAAATATTCGACGTAAAATCTTTAAAACATAATGACGCCTTTTTGGTTCCATATAAAGCATTAAATAGCAGTAGTTGAGAATTGAACATCGAACCCTGAGTATTTAATTATGTCAATTTTATTAAAAGCTGAGATAATAAGATTTATTTTATTTATTTTTAAATAAAACAAAGCACTCTGTTCACAAGTACCCACAATTTTATTTTATTCGTTGTGAAAGTTTCGTCATGAAAAATGTTATTTGTTGTAGTGAGATTTGACAAGTAAATAAGAGCCTCCCTCGTTATCATATATTGAACAATAACATCATAGTCCTTCAAGGTCTCATAGACAATATTCCCATTTTCATCTTCAACTATGAGAACCTCTTTAGGTTTAGCCATTCGACAGATCATTAGCATCCTTAACTTTGACATGGAACCAGAATAAAGACGTCGGCATTGAAAAAACGGAGAACCATGCCCATCAACTATAATAGTAAGCATTCCTGCTACCTGAAGTGCACTTTTAATCTTTTATTCATCAACAATTTGTGAAAGACCGCATGCTCTAGAATACCACTGGTCAGCTAATTGATCAGCTTGTATAGATGAACTTGGACTTTCAACGTTGCAACTTCCACGACTGCTATCATAATTGAAATAAGAACCATTCCATAATTTTTCATATACAGCCTTGGATTTTTGAAATTTGTGCCAAAAATGCTTCAGAACCCTTCACTTTAATCTCACATGCCAAGGCTGATGTTGCCTGATGTGTCATAAGTTTGATCTGGGAAACCTTCATTCTCAATCATTATGTCACCATCCTTGTCAAATTGGTCCATATATGCAATTTCAATATAAATAGATGGCCATACAGCTTGCGCAAACTTCTTGTCACCAGTGGCAACCGCATCCCTGTAAACCTGAAGAACAAACTTTGGATTCAAGTCTTTCCACATATCTGTGTTATAAAGATTATATCCATTTACTTCAAACCAAGGGTCATAGATTCCAATATCATGAGGAACAACACCAAGAACCTTTCTTAATACCATTTGTCCATTATGTAAAAGTTACATTTTTCCAAGATCACGCATCAGCACTATTGCAACAAAGTCTCTTTGAACACTAAGTTCAAGTTCAGAAATAGTGTGACTAGTGAAAAAGATGAGTAAAAATGGACATCGTACATATTCCACATTTGATACTCAATTCCTTCAAGATAAAGACACTGACCAATGTTTTCTTCCCCTTCTTGGAGTATACTTACTCCATATGCAGACTTTGATGCATTTGATTGGGGGTGGAGTTAGGGTGTGCATTTGATGTCTTCGCTGTATATGATGGTTGAAGGTGTGAAATGGAAATTGTTTGTTGTTGTTGGTGACAAATATTGTAGCCATAAGATGTTGAATCTGATGGGTTGGTTATAGGTGGTGTATATTCATGAAAGAATTTCTCATGGAAAAGATGGAAATTATGGTGTGATAGGAGTGATGTTCATAGAATAGAAATAGAAGGTGGAGTGATAAGATGAAATTGAAGGTGTATGATAAGGATAATCTATGAGAGAATTTGAGTATATGAATAAAAGTACTTAATGATAAGAAGTTTCCTATCAAAACTATGAATTTAGGATTTCAGGAACATTAAAAATGACTAAATAAAATAAAAGAAATAAAGACTTTTTTTCATTTGATTCATGCCTAATGTTTCAATGAGTCTACAATATATATACTTCTAATGAGTAATAAACTTAAAAGACCCAAATACTAGTAAAAAAGCCCAATAACAATATTGATAACCAATAATATAAACTAAAACTCTATTATACCTTTTATATCACACTCTCATGCACTATTAGTGCTACTACTAGTTTCCCTATACTTGAACCATTTGGAACACATCAAAAAGTATCCAAAATTGAAGACTTCTATTGCTGCAATCAAGTAATAAAAATAATCCAATCTTCCCTTATTAAGATCTTCTGGTAACCAATTTCCTGTTGCAGATTTGGAAGTTGTTTTATGAACAACAGAAACTAGAAAAGCACTCAAATAACTTGATCCTGCCAAGCAACAAAAGAAAAGTGACCCTGCAATGGTTTTCATATTCTCAGGAAACTGTTTATAGTAAAATTCAGTTAGTCCAACAGCATTAAAAGCTTCAGACAATCCAACTAATACTAACTGAGGAAGCAACCAAAAACCCGACATCGACGAAATCGCGCCTTTCCTAGGCTGAATTCCAATAGGATTAGTTAAAGCTAAGTGTCTTCTTTCTGTCTCAACTAATGCAGATACGAACATGCTTAGTATAGATAGAAATATTCCAACACCAATCCTCTGAAGGATTGTGATTCCAGCTTCTTTTCCGGTGAATCTTCGGAGAAAAGGAATAACTAGTCTATCATAGATTGGTAACCATAATGTAGTGCTCAACATTATGAACACTGAGTATGATGCAGCCGGTATGTTGAAGTTGCTATTTCCGACTTGTCTATTCAATTGAAGGGCTTGAAAAACAAGGACTGTGTGTTGCTGAGAGACAACTAGAAAGAACAAAATGCCAGAAAAGCATATAGGTAATACTCTAACCAAACACTTTAACTCTTCAACTTGTTGTATGCTACAAAGACTCCATGGATCAGTTGGTGAACCATCTGGATTTATCTTGTCTTGTGGAGTGATCATTGCAGCTTTGTCCAATACCCTATTTTTATCTAATAGTATTAGCATTTGTTTCACTAAAATACATGAAGTTTAAGTTTAAAAGTAGTGAACCGCAAATCTAGTAAGTGAAATAATTTTGCATCTGAAATGAATGACATTTTGTAAATATACGAATATATTTGTATAAATATTAAAATATTAAAATGCATTAAATGCATTTATTAATATTAAAATGAAAAAATATTAAAGTTAATAAATATTATTAGTTTCTGAAGGTTTAGTCAAATATATTTGTATTGAAAAGTGTCATACATTAAATGCATTTATTAATATTAAAATGAAAATATTTTAAAGGAAAACTAAATAAAAAATTCTCTTAAATAATAAAGATAATGAGTAAAAAAAGTAAAGATAAAAAGACTTCAAATTTTCTTATAAATTCTTTTTTATAATAAAGATAAGAGGTAATATTAATGGTTAAATATATAAGGAAAAAATTATATGAATGTTTTGTAGAGCATAGACAACTTCAATTTGAGGATAGAGTTGAAAGAGAAAAACAATATTCCTCCAATTCTATTTTATAAATAAATTTTGATTTTTAAGTTCACTCAATAGATAAATGATGTATTTAGTCTACATCAATTATTTAATAAAATTAAAAGTCAAAAACTATTTATAAAAGAGAAATTGGATGAATTTCAATTTTAGAAAATATATATTAAAATTAGATTGATGCACTTACCTGAATTGATATGTGTAAGGAAGCTTTGGATAATCACACTTGGATGGCAGATAATCAAAGAGTGAAAGCATTTGATGCTGAGCAGGTAGTTTAAGCCTCCTTTTCTTGATTGCAACCACTAAAACTTGAACAATACTTTTGATGGGACTATTACCATTTGGTTTAACTTTAACATACAATTTATCACCCATGAAAAACATCACACAAGCTAACAACATCAAAGCAGCAGGAATTCCAAGACCAATTGCCCAGCTCACATTTGATTGTACATAGACAATTAATGTTAAAGACACCATCACAGCAAAGGTGAAGGTGAAATAATACCAATTGAAGAAACTGTTGATTCCTTTCTTTCCCGAATCTGTTTTGGGATTGAATTGATCAACGCCGAATGCTAAATTACATGGTCTAACACCTGCAGCACCTATTAAGAGTAAGCAAAATCCAGAAAATAGAAACGTCATTTGTCCTGCTGTTGGTCCTATGCATGTGCTACTTTCCTTTGCACACGGTGGTGGATGCAGGTTCTTGAAAACTGCTGTTAGTTGTATCACAAGTAATCCCTGTGTCAATGAAAAACATCAATTATACATTTTTTAAAATATTTTACTAATAAAAAAAAACTGAATCTCAGTGGATCGTAAGAGCAAGTCTCCAATTTTTCTAAATTATTGTCCATAGACAGACATGCAGAGCGTCGGTGCCTCACAAAACCTATTAAAATAATAAATATTATAAATTTTCATGAAATAACATCCATTAGCGGGAAGAAATAAATACCAGAAAGGAAGTGATGGTGCAGAATCCTAATGTGTTGTAGCGACCAAAATATGTATCAGAGACGAAAGCACCAAGCAAGGTAGCAAAGTTGGTACTGCCATTGAAGATGTTAATGATGTTTGTAGCTGTGATGTTGTTTAGGTTGAATACAGTTGTAAGATACACCAACAGGTTAACTAATGTTCCAATAGCACCCAATTTTTCAAATGTTTCATTTCCTGTTATAAAAATTTAAACCATAATTAGATTAAGAAAAACACAGATTGTAAGAGAGAGCGTAGATGTTTTTCTACTGCTTAGTTACCTATGATGTAAGGCATGACCTTCCAACCTCTGTAAATGATTTTAGGATCATCATCAATTTCATGTTTTTCACTCATCTCAAAGTTTTCTTCCTCAATTCTTTTCATTGTTGTTTCACTCTCTCCCATTATTCACAGTTATGTATGCAAACTCAGTTACTCCCTGGTCACAAGGAGGAATAAATATATATAAATTATTGGATGGAAGTTCAACTAGACAACAAAGGACGCTTTAAAAGTTATAAAGTGTACTACTCTCAATTCAATTATTTAAAAGTAAAAAAGTCTTACTAACAGGTGTTTTAAAAGGTACTATATATTAAAAAATAAAAATTTGAAATTTAATAATTATATATTTAATGTTTTTTTACTAATATTCTGTTTAACAAGCAATATTTTAAGCTTATAACTTATAATTTATAAATTCGTATGATAATAAAAAATCTATTTGATAACACTCTTTTCATGTTTATAGTTTATTTTATTAATTTATAATTTATTTTTTAAATATTATTTTAGTTTATAATTTATAGTTTTTTTTTCATTATTACCATTTATTTTAAATATATATTTAATTATTAATTAAAAATATATTTTTATGTTATTTTACGTTTATCTATTAATTAAATCATTAATTTTATTAAACATTTTAATTAATTTATTAATTATTAATCATATCATAAATTATAAATTATAAACCATAAGTTATCAATCATAAATTATAAACTATCAATTATAAATAATAAACTTTATCATCTATAATAAATAGTATAAGTTAAATTTAATGTCAAACACATTTGTAAAATGATAACAACAACTAAAATTATTTATTTTTCAACCATATACTTTAAAAGTGGAATATATCAAATGTCAATGATTATTTCTTGTACATATAATATAACACATACACCACTTCTAGTTTTAAAAAAAAAACTCATTTTTATTGATGTTTATTAAAATGGTATTAATATTCCTCTATTTTTTTAAAGATATTAAAAATTGTAAATATAAATAATATTTACTTACAAATTTTTGCCTGTCACCAAATTAATTTTTTGGTATATAATAAGTTAAGAAGATATTAATACATATTTTAAAATTAAAAAGAATATCAATGTCATTTTAATAATTTTAATAATGGCAGAATCAAATCCAAATTTTTGAGAGGATACATATATAAATAATATATTCTTTCTTTTATTAAATTAATAATGAGAATAATAAATTACACTTATTAAAAATTCAAATATAATTATTTAGAGTCATATTTTTTCCTATTTTTCTTTAAATAAATTTTATGCAAAAGTATAAAACAAATTCAATTGATTGTTAATTATGGAAAAATATGAGAGAAAAGGAATTAAATATTTTTATTTTATTTTCATCTTAATATATATATATATATATATATATATATATATATATATATATATATATATATATATATATATATATATATATATATATATATATATATATATATATATATATATATATATATATATATATATATATATATAACAAAATATTTAAATAAAGTAAAGTTGATTTTTTTATAAATAATTTATCAAAGAAAAACTAAAAGCCTTTTTCTATTGTTATATAGAAAGAAAGTTGATGCACTGAAACTGTAAAATAATTTTATATTATCAATTAATCATAATTGTATATTCAATTAAAATATATTTTTATTTTAAAAAGAAAAATTAAATAACATGACAAATTCTTTATGTTTTATTAAATTATAATATAAAATTATTTTATAAATACATATCAATTAAAGTCTTATTATATTTTGTTAGGGAGAAAGTGTATAATAATTGCGTTGGTACTGTTGTATCCAAATGTACCGGTAAGCTTTTTAATTTTAAGCAGCAAAATTGAGGATTTGCTGAGAATTACTTATAACATCATTAGGATGAGGAAGAGTGTGTGAGAGATGAAATAATTTTACACTCTCTTTAAAGCAAAAGTAATTTTATAATAAAGAGTGTGTGAGATTAAATGAAAGGAGAGAAATGAAGAGAAAAAAAGAAAAAGAGAGATCCAGAGTGTGATAAAAATAACTTATAATTTAAATCTTTTCTCACAAAATGAATTATAATTTGAAAAGATAGTACACCGATTAATACCATGAGGATTGCTATGTTTAGACGACTTTCTTACACCATATATATATATATTACACCGTATGTATTCAAATATTTTGCCTGGCACAGATATCAAAATGAAATAAAAAATTATTTAAAATATATATATATATATATATATATATATATATATATATATATATATATATATATATATATATATATATATATATATATATATATATTATGGTGTGAGTGTAAAATATACTGTCTAAAGGAGCATTTCTCTTAATACTAGTTGTTGACTGATAACATTTGTCATGTACTCAATCTAAAGCGGCCTCTATCTTTCTTAATAAGTTTTGCCTCCACTGCTACTTATTTTATTTATGTTTTAAATATTTTTATTAAATTAACATATTTAAAACATTATCAAACATCAGATAGTTTTATTAAAATAAATTTATATATAAAGAGAGATATTCTTACTTCAAGAGTATGTTTATAAGAGTTATTCTAAATTTTAACTCTTAATTTTTATTAATCTAACGAGTTTAATTGTTTTAAAAAATAAATAGATTAAATGATCAAATAAAATCGTTAAATTAATGAAAATCAATAGTTAAGATTTGAAGTATCTCTTTTAAACTTATTCTATATCTTTAAATATTCCTTCTCATATATGATTATGTTAGAAGAAAACACGTGGTTACGTATTACAGTGAAAATCAAGATTCTGGAATGTATCTTCTGCAACGTGTTTAAGGAACGTCAGTGCAATAGGTTCTTATCGTGACTTTATGGTTAAGTTTTGGAGGTCTTCTAAAACTTTACTTCGGTGTGTTACAAAGTTCTGAAGATTATGAAAGACAAGGTTCTGCTGAATAGGTTTTGATGATCTGAAGAAAATCAAGTTCTCACAATTAAGTGTTGAAGACTCTGAAGACAAGGTTCTGTGTGACAAAGTTCTGAAGACTCCAAGACTTAGGTTCTAAGACTGTAGAAAGATTCTTCTACAACAAGCTTCAACGTTCAACATTCCAATATCTGAAGCCTCTGAAGATAAGAAGAAAGTTCAAAATGGTTAATGTGTCATGGTGTACAAAAAGTACATAAAGTGTCTATGACCTCTACTCTTCTAGAGTGGCGCAACGACAGTCCTTTCATACTTTACTATGACCACTCTCATTATGATTGTTGAGAACCAACAGCTAGATTTCTGATTACCTTTCTACCCTTTCAACAAATCTCTTTTACAAGCTATAAAAGGAAGACTTAGAAGCTGAAGAAAAGTAAGAATCAACATTACAACGACAAATCTATCGGATTAAATCAAGATCAACAAAACTACACCAAAGCATTGTGTAAACTCTAGAGAAATCATCTATGTATAGTTTCGTAAATAAGCAAGGAGTTGTTGCTCGTATCTTGCAGTAGAACACTTAGGTGCTTTATCTTTGTACTGAAATGCCTGTGTAATCTGCTTAACAAGAAGCAAATTTGTAATATACTGAAAGTACTCAACTGTTGTTGATTGATACCTTGAGAGACCGAGTGAAGATCCGATCTCAAGACGACTCTTGTTGCGACATGAGTGGTTTTGCAATAAGGATCAACAGACTTATTAGGGGTGCCAATAGGGTTGATCTGACTTATTGTGGATTGTCTGTAATCAGTTTGGTTATAGCGAATTAAGTCCTTGTTGAAGGCAAAATCATCCTTGAGGGGGTGAACTGGAGTAGCTTAGTTAACAATAAACCAAGATAAAAATAAACGTGTCATTTATTTTTATGTTCTAATCTTACTTGGTTCTGTCTCCAACAGAAAGATTTATTTTTGTGAAACCTAATTCAAACCTCCCTTTCTTGTGTTTATCACACCTTCAATTGGCATCAGAGCTCCGGTTCTGGTATTGGTAGTTATCAAATACTTAATCGTGTCAGATAAAGATTCATACGAGTTTTTCTTTAAAGAAACACAATGGTTGAACTCACACCAGCTGTTGCTACATCAACTTCAAATGATAAAAGTTTTAATGTTAAACCTTTCATCTTTGATGGAGAAAAGTTTGAATACTGGAAAGATAGACTACTTTCTTTCTAGGTCATGATGTTGATCTTTGAGATATGGTAGTTGATGGCTACGTACCTCCCACAGATAATACTGGAAAAGAGATAGCTAGGAGAGCTATGACTGATCAACAAAAGAAAGATTGTAAGAATCATCATAAAGCAGGAACCATCTTACTAAATGCGATTTCTTATACTGAGTATGTGAAGATCTCAAATAGAGACTCTGCTAAGTATATATTTTACTATCTCAAAATGACTCATGAAGGAAATGATCAAGTGAAAGAAACCAAGGCTCTAGCCTTGATTCACAAATATGAAGCATTCAAAATAGAGAATGATGAAAATGTTGAAGTCATGTTTTCAAGATTTCAAACCTTAGTTGCAGGACTGAAAGTTCTGAACAAAGGTTATTCAACGGTAGATCACGTGAAGAAGATTATTCGAAGCTTGCCATCCAAATGGGGGCCTATGGTAACTGCACTCAAGTTTGCAAAGGATCTGAACAACACTTCTCTAGAAGAACTTATAAGTTATTTAAGAAGTCATGAGATTGAGCTATAACAAAATGAACCACAAAAGAAGATAAAATTTATTGCGCTCAAGTCCATCAAGAAATCTGAGAAGTCCAAAGCTCTTCAAGTAGAAGTAATAGAGGATTCAGAAGAAGATCTTGATGGTGAAGAAGATGAGTTATCTCTGCTTTCCAAAAGGGTTAACCGTCTCTGGAAGAAAAATCAAAGCAACATGCTCAGAAATTAAAGAAGGACTAGAGGTCACTTCGAATCAACTTCTGGTCAAAGAAAGTCTGACGGTATCAACATCACTTGTTATGAGTGCAATGAGCCAGAACATTACAAACGGGAGTGCCCTAAGCTTCTGAAGAACAACATCAAGAAGAGAGATCTCAAAGGAAAAAAGAAAATGGTAACAAGGGATGACTCAAACTCAGAAGTAGAACATGCTTACG